GTTAGATGGATTGTTGAATACTTTGTTGTAGTTTGAGTTTCTATTCTTATTTAAGTTTTGTTTGGTTATCTTTTGAAATTGTTTGATTATTAAATGTCGTGTCATAGCTAAGTCTAATAATATAATAAGGTTTATCAAAGTAACATAGAACTAAAATTAGAAATGCTTAGCTTTTGTATCTTATAAAAAAGAGGGATAACTTATGTCACAACCCTTAAAAAGCAATAAATAAATAATGGCTCTACACATAGGTCTACCTATATATTAAAACTAAAATTATGTAAATACAGTATAAAATTAACTGAAAAACTACACAACGATTTGGGATCCATAAATCTAATCTAACTATAATAGATTTGTGTAAATGTCTATAAACCATACATCACATCATACAGTTTTATATTGCCAATGCATTATATTTAAAAACTTTGTTTTAATTACAAGTTGCTACTCTAAATTATATTTTGAGCTTTTTGGATGGTTTCAGGAGTATTATTTTTTTGTCAGTACCAAACGCTGGTAAAAAATCATCGAAATTATGAAGATAAACAAGAAGAAGAAGAACTAAAACAATGTTTAGTTAAACTGTTTCACATTGAAAGTCGTACTAAAAATATTAAAACAAAGTTCCGAAATACTCCTCAACGAGTGTAGCCTTTTGGAAAAAGTAAACACAATGATGGAGAAAAAATTAAAACGTTATTATTAATTATTATTAATGCATTATTTATATTTTACTTTTGTACTTTCATTTTGAGTCCATAAATGGTTTGTGCCTATTATAAATATGAATTAATTTTTTAATATTTATTTTTCACATCACGCCATGTTTTAAATATTTTATTTAGCCGGTTTTAATTTTTAACTTATACATTTATACCTGAGTTGAGTATGAAAATCATTTACAACAAATAGTCTCACCCTAACTGTTGGCCTCCAATAGAAGTAGGAGGATTAACTGAATAATTGATAACAACTAATCAATCCTTCGCTTGATAAGTTAAGTATTAAATGTTTGTGCAGGTAGAGGTAATTTATAAAAATTCAAGTAAAATTTATTACGTAAAGACTTTGGAACGAACACAAAACTACCCCTTCAACAGACTTAAACAGATATATATATTTATTTACTTATAAATTTCTTCGAAACTTATTTTTATAAAATGTATAAGTTATTGTAGAATATTAAATATATTTATCCAATAAATAATATACAGTTACTGATGTTTTAATCTTTGTTTTTGACCATACAGTAACTTTAAATAAAAAAAAAACAGTTGCTCATTTTGTTTCTGTTAAGAAATCGGTTAAAAAATAGGCTTGTGTATAAACAAATTAAATTACTATTTTAAATAGCTGCATAGTTTATAAGCTGCGATTTGAACATTTTTAATCATGACATCTGGAGCATTAAACATATACAGCAAACATCTGCAACTAATTTTATGATCTGAGTTCAATTCGATACAATGACCTTTAGTATCAGAGTTGAAGGAATTAATACTATTTCACTTGGGTTTTGTAAATAAGAAATAAATATGTATGGCCATTAAATATACATGTCATTCTCAATGGGCTTGGTAATCATTGGTGATGGTGACACAATCATTCTAACACAAAGAGTTAATGTTCGAAATCAAACCATTGTATTATTATGTAGCCATTGCTCACATTTTATTTAAATTACTTAACAGAAACGTTTTAACGATTTTTTCTATTCGTATACAGGGCAATCCACATTTCAAAACACATTAAACAATTGTTTTCGCTTAAACACAAACTAAATATTTTGAATCCCAAATTTGCCTTAGTCATTATGTTGCAATGGCCAAATAAATTGGCTCATTATGAATCAGGAAACATAATTAAAAATTATTATTTTCATTCTTCTACAAAATTACAATCCATTTTTCCCAAATACAAACGTAATTTAGAAAAATATCGTTTTTGCTTTAGATATTCGCTTATATTCCTGTGAATACTGTATAATTATTTATTTTGGTCCAAATATTTTCAAAATATGATAAAGCTTCAACTTGAGTAAAAAGTTTTGCAAAACTCAGAGCTGTTGAGCTATTATTGGTTATGTTCAAGTGGTGGGGATAGATTTATTCCCCTAAAACCAGCTTTTGAACGGAGTAATAACACCTGTGATAATTTTAAAACATAAACAAAAGACAAGACTCAACATTGAACGACTACCAACAGCTGATCTTTCAGTACTTCCAGGGCTGCCAACGCGTCAATCAGCAGCAGGTCTGCCAATTGCCAGTACAACAATACCCCGCAAAACCCACAAAACTAAGTGCGCTACTCACTGTAAACTGCAAGTGTTTACCTGAATTTAATGGCCGCCCCAAAATAGCGCGCCCACTTCAAATTCCACTGTTCGGCCTTGTTCGGTAAATACCCCCATCTTCATCCTACGCAAATTATGTACAAAGTGAATTCCGCACACCTTATAATGACATCCAGAATATTAACATTTTTCAAACTCTAAAAAGTGTAAGTCTCTAGAGAGAATTAGTTATGTCTCATTATAGTGGAAGTTAAGGGGGGGGGGGGATATCATAAAATATTGTTGCAGAGTCCAGAGAATTGTTAGATAAATTATAAATATTTTAATTTTGAATGATTTTTCTATTGTTGTGTGTGGGTTTTAGAAAGGCACGTGTTTTAATAAATATATTTCATTTGTATAGCTATGGTCTATATACACGCAACAAGCCTAAAATTTGTGTAGTTAGGGTATTTTATGGATAAACCATCACCAAAAATATATTATTGAGCTTTGAACCACACAAGGACCTAATTGTATTTTGTTTAATTTCACCATACTTTATTTCAATTTTTATTTATTTATTGATTATCTTTGTATTGCATTGTAATTTGATTGAATTATAAATAATTATTAAATTATAACTAGTCGTTGATTTTTTAATTATTAATACATTTCGGTCATGCTATAACAAAATTTCTTAAAGATTCAACCCAATGGAGTCAAAGTTGTGTTACTTCAAAACGTTTCAATTACAAAAATATATTAAAGTGTGTTCAATATCTTATTACATTAATTAGTAATCGCAGCCCACCAAATTTATTCTTTATAAGTTATAAAATGGCATACAATTTTATTGTTATAACTATGGTACTTCAATATAATTATGTAGGTACTAAATAACTATGTATAAATTAAATAATTATGTAATATATTCTTTACATTTTATTAGCTTCAGGGGTTTAATTAATTAATTTTAACGCGATTTAACAATCAATATTTACGGTAAATGATATGTTTAAATAGCCTAATATGTTTATTCTGCTTCATAAAAAGGAACTGCTCTATCTTTTTGTAAAGTGTATGCGGTAATAAATGTATTTATGATAAATTATGTAGATTAAGATACCATAAATAATTAAGTTATATAACCTTTAAATTATATTAGCTTCAGCGGGTTTATTTAATTGATTGTAACGCGATTAATAATCGGTATCAGCAATCTGACACATACTTTCTGCCATAAGCCTGTCAACAACCTGTATCATGTGTAAGCGGTGGGAGTAACTATAAAGGGATAAATCAAAGAAATTGCAATAACTTTTGAACCGTAATTGTTACAGTTACAGCATTAAGAGGTTGCAATATTTTTGTTTATAAATTAGTTATTAATTTATAAGGATCCTAACACATTAATTTAAATCAAACCCGGCTTTTTTCCTAAAACCCGTAATTTTGTTATTTTATGGGGTTTTATTTATTTATTTATTCACGGTAACACCATTTTTATACAATAGTGGTTAGCATATTCAATTACAAGATGGCATAATTTACAACGACACTACATTAATAATACAATTAATAATCAAACAAAACTGAACTTGAAAAAAACTTTGGGTAAGTAAGTTATTCAAGGAAAAACAACAAACAATAATAGTAGGCAATGCAGACAAAAAAAACAATTAATAACAGACAATGAAAGGCTATGAAAGGTTTTATGAAATAACACAACTTACACTAACTTTTGGACCGTACCGTATATGTACCATTTTGTTCAAAATTGTAAGGGACCATACAAGTTTTAATCAAACCCGGCTTTTTTTAATTAAATTTTTCGGTTTTATGGGATTGTTATGAGAAAATAGCATAAGTTACAATCACTTTGGAAAAGTAATTTTAAGGAAATGGAATTCGTACCATATCGTTCAGTATTTAAAGAACTATAACATATTCCTCAACTTAACACAATAACATTTCAATCCAAATCGTTCTGGCCATTACAAAAAATCCTATTTTCCGTTATTTTGTGGGGTTTTATGAGAAAAACACCATTAAAAATTACATAAAAAGAGAAAAAGCACCTTTAAATATAACGTATTAGTACTTACGTACAAAATTTCATCAAAATCGGACGACAGGCATGGTCTGTATCTCTGTACACATACACACACACACTCTCAAAGACATCACTTCGAGAAACACTTTTTTTGGGTTCAGGGGGGCCCAAAACAGATATATCCACTCAAAACTTAAACTCGGAAATTTTGACGAAAACAATACTTTCTCTATATATATGTATAAGGGGAGAAAGTTAAAAAAGCAATCAATCATTACGGTAATTGATATGATTTTAAAAATAGGGTTTCATCAAAAGGATCTGCTCCATATTTGTTTTAACTGTGTTAAAATATATAGAATAAAATGCCAAAATGCCCCATACACTAAAATTAAAGTACCATCCCCCTAACATTACAAACACCCATAAAATATACAAACAATTTCTTATATACGCTTTGTATCGCTCTCAAATATGACTCACTATCATCAACAATTACCTAAGGAATTTTTACAGTCCAACAAACACTAGTGCCTAATTACGGAATGCAGTAATGTTTATTATTAGCTCACTATCACACTAGTGACGTATCCTGCAGTGCACTAAGTACACCCCCCTCCCCCCGAGCTATCAGCTGTTTAGTGAGACATCAGTTCATCAGTTCAGTAGAGCTAGCGCCGTGGTCCACGTCGGGCGTTGGATTTGGACCGTTCCTTTCCGGTTTTAACGTGCGAGTGGACGTAATTTCCAGCATGGATTTGAAAGTAAGAAACTTTCAGTTTTCCTGGTTAATTTTAGTTGATAATTTATCATTATTTTTACTTATAATTTAATTGTTTATTATATTTTTAAATTAAAAGAAACACATTTACGATTTGTTTATATGAATCAGGGGTGAACAAAATGTAACAAAAGTATTTTTTTTATATTTTTACAACTTATAACTCAATTAAATGGTCTAATAAGATAGTTTTTTTGCGATGGACAAACAATTTTTTCAACTATTGACAAAATATATTTTATTGTAAAGATATTTTTAGAAAATTTTAAAATTGTTATTGTAAGTGATAAAATTTGTAGGTACCTTAAGAATGCTACGAATTGAACCATGCACTATTCTGTATCTCGATGCAATAATAGTTTTAATCTTTGTGATCCAAATGTTTGTTTAAACTGGCAGACTGAGTATGGGGGCAAAATAATAATACTTTCCAAAAAGCTTTTTGAAATTCTACCAATTCCTTAAAAAGATACCTGCATAATAGCAGGATAATAATATCTCTAATAAAAAAAAAAAATCAAAATGTTGTATTTAAAAATAATTTTAAATTACCTAGTTAAGTCATTGGTTTTTACATTTTCACAAATTGACATTTTAATTGCCTCAATTTTCTAAGTTATTTGCACTCATTAGCAAGGAATAGTTTAAACATCCCCAAAAGCTATACAAAATAGATTTTGTAACGTACATTTCCTTTTTTATAATGGATTTTTTTAGTGGTTCAGTAATATTTAGCTTAATCTAAGTCTTGTAAAGATTTGATTTCATAACCGAAATCGAAACTGCCGTTTATAAGGGATTTTGGCAGGACAATATACGAGTAGGGTTCCAAAGTAAGAAGTTGTAAAGGTATCCATGGCACAAACACATCGATTTTTGAATTACGGTCAGTCCAATTGGTAGAGCGCAGATCCTTTGTCCTGAGGATCAGGGTTCAAATACTTTCAATCACCTTATACTAAGGGTTAATCCAGTGACACAGTGGTTCGGGACCCACCTTTCTTTGTAGGACCTTCCTAACTAGTAATTAGTAAGAACATATTAATAATATTCAATCGGATAGTTTAAATTCTTATAATTGTGTCAACATTACGATTTAACCTTTAATACAGGTTAAAATCACTTATTTTTTCTCAAACGGGATTCTGCATTATAAAAATTACAAAATCAAAGACACAGATACATATCTAAGTTAAGACGAAATTGCATCGTATGTTTTTATACCAACCCCTTGTATTGTTAGGGCAAAAAATGTTAAACACCCTAATCAACCCAGCAGATATTAAACAAAAACCCTATAGTTCCTGCATGGAATTATTCAAACCACTGTAACAATATTTGAAACAAATATTTAATCCTTATTGATATTATTAGAGAGAATCAATATTTATAGTTTCAATAATCTTACATCGACAAATATTTGACCTATAATCCACTCAGTTGACAAACTACATAACCTGCTCTCAATTACAAACATGTTTCAACATTCACTAGACTAGTTTATATGCAACTAATGGGGATACTAAATGCAAATAGTTCCGGTTGACAATATAAAAGCTCCCATTGCGACAACTCTACAATGTCCAGCGAAGCGAATCGTAATGGCTGTGACAATACAATGCTGATATAAGTACCTGTTATCTTTGCTGATAACACTGTGTATCCAGCTGTCTCTTGCATTATCTGTAAGCTTAGCGTGTTTTATTTAGTTATGGTTGACAATAAGCTACAATTGCAACGTTCACTATACATTGTCCAGTGAAGCGAATCATAATGGCTGTGACAATACAATGCTGATATAAGTACCTGTTATCTTTGCTGATAACACTGTCTGTATCCAGCTGTCTCCAGTATGACAATGTTAGCCTTACTACTTCCTTCACCATTTACTACGTCATTGGCCTGTTTCCTTCCTTTCTCATAGCATTTAAGTATTACAAATTCACTTATCCATCTGCTCAAACGGTTCCCCCACTCTGCACTGCCAGCCTTTACTACTTCCTTCACCACTTACGTCGTGGACCTGTATTCATCGCTTTCCATAGCATTTTAGTATTTTAGATACGTTAATCTAATTGCAACAAACATCCCCACTGTCCGTACTGCTAGACTTTACTACTTCTTTCACAATTTCCTATGTCTTGGGCATGCTTCCATCCCTTCTCATAGCATTTCAGCATTGCAGATACATTAAAACTGCTACAAACGGTTTCCAGTTCCCACACTCCACACTGCTCACCTTACTACTTCTTTCACCTGCTTATCTGTTTCCCTCCCTTCACATAGCATTTTAGGATTGCAGATACCCTTATCTTATCGTCATAAACAGTTCCCACACTCCGGACAGCTCGCTTTGACTACTTCCTTCACCACTTCCTACGTCACGGGCCTGTTTTCCTCCCTTTCCCATAGCATTTTTGATTGCCCATACCCTTATCTAATCGTCATAATAGTTCCAACACTCCGGACAGCTCGCCTTGACTACTTCCTTCACCACTTCCTACGTCGCGGACCTGTTTCCCTCCCTTCCCATTGCACTTAAAGATTGCAGATACCTTAATCTAATCGTCATAAACAGTTCCCGCACTCCGGACTACTCGCCTTGACTACTTCCTTCACCACTTCCTACGTCGCGGACCTGTTTTCCTCCCTTCCCATAGCATTTTAGGATTGCAGATACCCTAATCTAATCGTCATAAACAGTTTCCACACTCCAGACTGTTCACCTTTACTACTTCCTTAACCTCTTCATACGTCACGAACCTCAAGCTTGTGTCGTCATTTGATTATAGTACCTGGGGACCGAGCTTTGCTCGGGGAAAATCATTAGTTCACTCTGAAAGCACCGTAGTAAAGAGATACATAAATCCACACATCTACATCCTACACAATTTCCTACGTCATACACCTGTTTCCCTCCATTCCATTGCATTTAAAGATTGCAGATACCTTAATCTAATCGTCATAAACAGTTCCCACACTCCGGACTACTCGCCTTGACTACTTCCTTCACCACTTCCTACGTCGCGGACCTGTTTCCCTCCCTTCCCATAGCATTTTAGGATTGCAAATACCTTTATCTAATCGTCATAAACAGTTCCCACACTCCGGACAGCTCACCTTGACTACTTCCTTCATCACTTCCTACGTTGCGGACCTGTTTTCCTCCCTTCCCGTAGCATTTTAGGTTTGCTGATACCATAATCTAATTGTCATAAACATTTCCAACACTCCGGACAACTCGCCTAGACTACTTCCTTCACCACTTCCTACGTCGCGGACCTATTTTCCTCCCTTTCCATAGCATTTTAGGATTGCAAATACCTTAATCTAATCATCATAAACAGTTCCCACGCTCCAGACGGCTCGCCTTGACTACTTCCTTCACCACTTCTTACGTCACGGACCTGTTTCCCTCCCTTCCCATAGCATTTTAGGATTGCCCATACCCTTATCTAATCGCCATAAACAGTTCCCTCACTCCTGACAGCTCGCCTTGACTACTTCCTTCACCACTTCTTACGTCGCGGACCTCTTTCCCTCCCTTCCCATAGCATTTTAGGATTGCCCATACCCTTATCTTATCGTCATAAACAGTTCCCACACTCCGGACAGCTCGCTTTGACTACTTCCTTCACCACTTCCTACGTCACGGGCCTGTTTCCCTCCCTTTCCCATAGCATTTTTGATTGCCCATACCCTTATCTAATCGTCATAATAGTTCCAACACTCCGGACAGCTCGCCTTGACTACTTCCTTCACCACTTCCTACGTCGCGGACCTGTTTCCCTCCCTTCCCATTGCACTTAAAGATTGCAGATTCCTTAATCTAAGCGTCATAAACAGTTCCCGCACTCCGGACTACTCGCCTTGACTACTTCCTTCACCACTTCCTACGTCGCGGACCTGTTTTCCTCCCTTCCCATAGCATTTTAGGATTGCAGATACCCTAATCTTATCGTCATAAACAGTCCCCACACTCCGGACTGCTCGCATTTACTACTTCCTTCATATCACTTCTTACGTCACGGACCTGTTTCCCTCTATTCCCATAGCATTTTATGATTGCCTTTACTACTTCCTTCACTACTTCCTACGTCACGGACCTGTTTCCTTCCCTTCCCATAGCATTTTAGGATTGCAGATACCTTAATGTATTCGTCATAAACAGATCCTAGACTTCGCACTGCTACCCTTGACTACAATGTATCGAGTAATCTTAAGTATAATCTTTGCTCAATATTAACAAGTGATGTTTTTCCTTTTGTACTGTATTTGTAATTTCCTAGTATACTGTGGGTAGTTGGCTTATTATGAACACATGCTAAAACTTCAAATCTTTTGTTTACTTTTTACTTGTTATTTAATTCAGCCAACATGGTTACCTAGCAACCCATAAGACTAATGTTAAGAAAATGTGATTTTCTTTTTCATTTTTCTACGGATTCCTGAGAGACTTTTTTAACGCCATATAGATGTTGGCACTCACCGATATGGTCTTTATCACCATGCAAAATTTGAAAACGATTGATTCAGCCGTCTAGGAGGAGTTTGCGTATTACGAAATGCATAAAAGTCGACGTATAAGAGCTTCGCTCGCTCCGCTCAATAAGTACCTGTTATCTTGGCTGATAACACTGTATGTATCCAGCTGTCTCTTGCATTATCTGCAAGCTTAGCGTGTTTTTATCTAGTTATCTAGTAGCTACAATTGCGACAACTCTACAATGTCCAGCGAAGCGAATCATAATGGCTGTGACAATACAATGCTGATATAAGTACCTGTTATCTTTGCTGATAACACTGTCTGTATCCAGCTGTCTCTTGCATTATCTGCAAGCTTAGCGTGTTTTTATCTAGTTATGGTTGACAATATGCTACAATTGCAACGTTCACTATACATTGTCCAGTGAAGCGAATCATAATGGCAGTGACAATGCTATGCTGATATAAGTACCTGTTATCTTTGCTGATAACAATGTG